AAGTTAGCTGGGGACACAGGCACGCCGCCACTCTCGGCCTGCCGGGGCTAGTTTTTGTTTTTTTAGTAGGAGCGGGGTTCCCGTGTTAGCCCAGGATGGTCTCGATCTCCTGATCCTCGGTCGATTGCCGTCTCCGGCTCGCCCAAAAGTGCTGGGATTACAGGCTTGGCACACGCGCCGACCATATAACTGTTGTAATAGCCATCTATGTAATCCTAACACAGGATGCATCGATGGCTGGAGGTTGGTCTCAATTGGTTGAGTTTCCTCATTATGGGTCGTGTCTTCCTGCCTCTTTTGTATGCTCGGCAAATCTTTGATTGGGTGCAGGCCATTGTGACTTTTCTTTACTGTCATCGGAGTGTTAGTTTTTTGTATTTTTGGTTTTCTTTGAGATGGAGTCTCTGCTCGTGTCCCCAGGCTGGAAGCGCAGTGGCACCATCTCGGTCTCACTACAACTCCGTGCCGGGTTCGCGGATTTTCTACTCGGCTCTGCGTAGCTGGAGGATTAGAGGGTGTGCGCCCATGCCCTGGCTATGTTGTTTTGTTATATTTTTAGTAGGAGACAGGGCATAGTTGCTCACACCTGTAATCCCAGCACTTTGGGAGGCCAAGGTGGGTGGATCACCTGAGGTCAGGAGTTCAAGACCAGCCTGGCCAACACGGTGAAACCCCATCTTTACTAAAAATACAAAAAATTAGCCAGGCGTGGTGGTGGGTACCTGTAATTCCAGCTATTCAGGAGGCTGAGGCAGGAGAATCAGTTGAGCTCGGGAGGTGGAGGTTGCAGTGAGCCAAGATCATGCCACTGCACTCCAGCCTGGGCAACAGAGCAAGACTCTGTCTCAAAAATACAAAATATTAGCCAGGTGTGGTGGCATGCACCTGTAGTCCCAGGTACTCAGGAGGCTGAGGTGGGAGGATCACTTGAGTCCAGGAGATGGAGGTTGCAGTAAGCCCCTATGGTGCCACTGCACTCCAGCCTGGGCAGCAGAGCAAGACTGTCTCAAAAATAACTTTTTTTTCTTTAACATGCCCTAACATTACAACAAATGAGCCAAAATCTTGAACAAAAGTATATGATAGACCAGGGCGGTAGCTCATGCCTGTAATCCCAGCCCTTTGGGAGGCCGAGATGGGTGGATCACTTGAGCTTATAATGAGGGCACTCATTATTTCTAATTCCTGTCATCCTCAGAAATGACAGGAGTCTCATCTGATACCCTTAATGAAAACTGTACCGACCTTTCTAGGACCCCGTTCCCCCCCGCCAACCTCTGTAGCTGTCATGTCCATTTGTCTAGAACTTTAAGGTGTTTGTTCTGAAAAACCATTATTTTGGTTTTAGTCATTATGGTGTGCTGAATATGAGCTCCCAAAGATACCCATATGCCCGTCCCCTGAACCTGGAAGCATTACCTTACATGGCAAAAGGGACTTTGCAGGTACAATTAAGGATCTTGAGATGAAGGGAGTATCCCGGATTATCCAGGTGGATGCAGTGATGAAGTCACAAAGGTCCTTACAAGAAGGAGGCTGAAGCTGATGTGGCCAGAACCAGGGGCTGCCGGCCACACTCAGAGGCTGAAAATGACCAGGAAATGGATTCTCCCCCTAGAGCTGCCAGAGGAAACCAGCCCTGCCAACACCTTGACTTCTGCTCAGTGAAACTGGTACTGGCCTTGTGTCCTCCCAAACTGTAAGATAACAGATCTGTGTGGTTTTATTTAAGCCACACAGATCAGTCTCTCGTCATTTGTTGGAACAGCCACAGGAAGCGGACACTGTCCCCTTTTTCCTCCTTAGGCACTGCATTCCAGTTTACCTACTTTTCTTTTTTGAGATGGAGTTCTTGCTCTTGTGACCCAGTCTAGAGTGCAGTGATGCAATCTCAGCTCACTGCAACCTCCGCCTCCCAGGTTCAAGCGATTCTCCTGCCTCAAGCTCCCGAGTAACTGAGATTACAGGCGTGCACCACCACGCCCAGCTAATTTTTGTATTTTTGGTATCAACAGGGTTTCACCATGTTGTCCAGGCTGGGCTAGAACTCCTGGACGCAAGTGATCTGCCCGCTTCGGTTTCCCAAGTGCTGGGATTACAGGCTGGAGCCATCGAGACCCGCCCCTCTTGCAACATCTTTCTGATGCCGCTTTCCTCTGAGAATGAGCCCTGAAATCAGGAAACGTCCTGGAGATCCAGGTTGTCTTTTTGTCCCCAGATATTTGGCGCTCCCCAAGATGGCCATTTGGTGGCACCAAAAGCTTTACTCTTCACCTCGCTTCTGTCTACATTTTCAAATGGCCCTCAAAGTTGACTTGATTGTTTTGATAACCCACTTGCCCAAAGCCAGCAGGAGGGAGGGATGTCAAGACCAAAAGGGAAGTTAAGCCTCATCTTTGAGGGCCATTTGAACATATCCAGCTTGATTTTATTCAGGTGAAGGTAGGTTGGGGACTGGAAAATAATTTGGTCATCTGTACAGTCTCAAGACAGACAGATGCATGCCTTTATGCAAAAGTCACCACCAGCGGCCGGGCGCGGTGGCTCACGTCTGTAATCCCAATACTTTGGGAGGCGGAGGCGGGCGGATCACGAGGTCAGGATATCGAGACCTTCCTGGCTAATACCGTGAAACCCCGTCTCTACTAAAAATACAAAAAGAAATTAGCCGGGCGTGGTGGTGGGCGCCTGTAGTCCCAACTGCTTGGGAGGCTGAGGCAGGAGAATGGCATGAACCTGGGAGGCGGAGCTTGCAGTGAACCGGATCGTGCCACTGCACTCCAGCCTGGGCGATAGAGCAAGACTCTGTCTCAAAAAAAAAAAAAAAATCGCCACCAGCAAAGGGCCCCCTACAGAGGTTTTATTTCCAGGATCTGTCACCATGGCCCACTAAGAAAGAAAGATCCCTGCATTTCAAGACAGACTGTAAAGAAAGTTTGAAAAGCTACAAAAGCAAATAACAACTACACTCTTTTTCAACCTTTCTGTTGATCCAGTGGGTTGGCAAAGCGCAAAAAATTGGGTGCCAATATACAGGGCTGGGGGAATGTCAGGGAATAAGCTCTCTCTCCCATTGCTGGTGGGGGTCTATATTGGAACAGCAGCCATGGAAGGCAATTTGCTAATGGCTAGCCAAATCATTAACGCACGTCCGTTTCTAGGGATGCATGTTATTCACACGTGAATGTTACCTTGTTCTTTTTTTTTTTTTTTTTGAGACGGAGTCTCGCTCTGTCGCCCAGGCTGGAGTGCAGTGGCCAGATCTCAGCTCACTGCAGGCTCCGCCTCCCGGGTTCACGCCATTCTCTTGCCTCAGCCTCCCGAGTAGCTGGGACTACAGGTGCCCGCCACCTCGCCCGGCTAGTTTTTTGTATTTTTTAGTAGAGACGGGGTTTCACCGTGTTAGCCAGGATGGTCTCGATCTCCTAACCTCGTGATCCACCCGTCTCGGCCTCCCAAAGTGCTGGGATTACAGGCTTGAGCCACCGCGCCCGGCCTACCTTGTTCTTAAGATTGGAAAAACCATTTAAAATACTCATATCAATGAAACTTGCAAATTATGAACATCCGTAGAACAGAATTCTGTGCAACTGTACAAAGCGAGAGGTTCTGGGGAGCCCCACCCCACGGCCCAGGCCCCCACTAGTTCACCGCTTGTGAGGCTCTCCAGCCGTCCGTAATTGCCTGCTCCAGCTCTTCCCAGGTGACCATGGTGACTTCTTCTGCACCAGGAACCAAACTCAGCTTCCGGCTGACTAGTTCCTGACAGTGACAGACAAGACACACACACATACACCCCTCGATTAATCCCAAGAAGCTTTAGGGACAGACTTGGTCTAACAGGATCTGGGTGGATCCTTCCCAGCCCCAGCCCCAGGCCCAAGGAGAATTCATCACCCTTCAAGTGACCAGTGAAGGTCGGGAAGACAGTCCTCTGTTCCATGTGAGCACCCGTAGAGCGCTGGGCAGGGATGAGACAGATTCCCCTCCAACCCAGGGGCAGAGACTTGAGAGGCAGAAGGCACACACTGCCTGCCCTGGATGGACAAGCCCTGGAAAGAGGGCCACGCTGAGAGAGGGCTAGCCCCCTGGAGAGCCCCTTCCCATGGAACTGGCTGGTATTACCAGGAATTGTTCCCGATCTTTGAGTAGCTTCTCTAGTTCATCAACCCGCTGTAAAATTACCTAGAAGAAGAGTTCAGGAAAGGAGAATGACAGTGGCCCCTACCCATGCACACTCACATGTGCACACACACTCTCACACTCACTCACACACACACGCATACTCGCACACACAGTGACTCAGTGCCAGGAGACAAGGAAAGGGGGAATGCGTGTGGCTCTTATGGAAAGGGAGGGTTTCTTCTACTTGAGTTTTTTGGGGGTTTTTTTGGTTTCCTTTTTTTTTTTTTTGAGACAGGGTCTCGCTCTGTCACCCAGGCTGCAGTGCAATGGTGCCACCACAGCTCACTGCAGCCTTGACCTCTCAGGCTCAAGCAATCCTCCCACCTCAGCCTCCTGAGTAGCTGGTACTTCAGGCATGCACCACCACATCCAGCTAATTTTAAACACTTTTTTGTAGAGATAAGATCTTGCCATGTTGCCCAAGCTGGTCTCGAACTCCTGGATCCAAGCAATCCTCCAGCCTCGGCCTCCCACAGTGCTGGGATTACAGGCAGGAGCCCCTGCCTTCTACCTGGTTTTTACCTGGCCAGTCAGCCCAGGCTCCTGGGTCTTTTCCCAGCCAAGTGCAGGAAGGGAAGTGAGATGCAGTGGGGGGCCTGGCTGGTAGCACAGTAAGAGTAAGTGCTGTTGCGGGGATGGGATCCTCTGGTCCTGGGATTCAGTTTGCTCCAATCCACTCATGAAAGCCTGTAGGATGAGGCCCACCTTGCCTTGCGGGTGGTGCCAGGTACCTCAACAGTAGCTGAACATGGGTGCTGTCTAAAGAGAAAAGCACCTCAAAAGAACCAAAGCAAATCGCTACAACATAAGGTGCTTACTATCATATTTGGGATTAAGAAAGAATATATTAATAAAAATAAAACTTTATAACTTTTGCAAACTTGTAGAATCTAAGATTAGCTAAAAATTAAAAGGCCAGGAGCAGCGGCTCTTGCCTGTAATCCCAACACTTTGGGAGGCCGAGGCAGGAGGATCACTTTAGGTCAGGAGTTCGAGACCAGCCTGGCCAACATGGTAAAACCCCATCTCTACTAAAAGTACAAAAATTAGCTGGGTGTGGTGGTGTGCACCTATAATCCTAGCTACTAGGGAGACTGAGGCAGGAGAATTCCTTGAACCCAGGAGATGGAGTTGCAGTGAGCCAACGCGCCACTGGACTCCATCTGGGTGACAGAGTGAGACTGTCTCAAAAAAAAAAAGAAAAAGAAAAAGAAAACAAAAAAAAACCCTACCACACTTTAAAGTTTGAAAAGGAAAGCAAACTTGCTTCCCAGAGCAAAAGTGAATTGGTGCTGGGGTCTCGAGACCTGGGGTGATATGGCAGGAGGGCATGAGCGGCCAGGGCTCCCCTGCTGGGGTTTGGCCTCTTCCTCCTGCCTCTTCCCAGCCTCTTTTTCCCCTCCTGTCTCTTGGCCTCCCTGTCCAGCTGCCTTCCTAGTTGCTTCTGCTTTTTCTTTCAGGACCAACCTAAGGTGGCTCTGAGACATGCACGTGTCTATTACCTCCCGGCGCTGACCTGCGTTGCTTCCTGCTGTTCACTGGATAATACTTGTGCTCAATGATTATATGCACTTGTCCCTCCAAGAAAACAAAAGTCCAGTTGAAAGTAGGGCTCAGTGGCTCATGCCTGTAATCCCAGCACTTTGGGAGGCCAAGGCGGGCAGATCACTTGAGGTCAGGAGTTTGAGACCAGCCCGGCCAACATGGTGAAACCCCATCTCTACTAAAACTACAAAAATTAGCCGGGCATGGTGGCACGCGCCTATAATCCTAGCTACTCGGGAGGCTGAGGCAGGAGAATCACTTGAGTCCGGTAGGCGGAGGTTGCAGTGAGCCGAGACTGCACCACTGCACTTCAGCCTGGGTGACAGAGTGAGACTCTGTCTCAAAAAAAAAAGAAAACAAAAAAGTCCAAGTGAAACTGTCCCCTGCCTGCTGTAGCTTGTGTCATGGCCACAGGGAGCTGAGGTCCAACTCTCCATCCTGACTCCCCTTCTCTGGGAGCCTTTGTCCTCAGTGCCTATCTCTTTATGTCTTTATTCTTTTTAAAAAGGGAATTCACTCTAACAATCTTCTGAGAAGTTGTGGGCCCCACTCTGGGCCAGCTCTGATCCTTGGATGTCTGATAAGTGGTGGGCAAACCTCTCTTGTAAACAGGGGCTAGGAAGGAGTGGGGTGGGATGGGGCCACTAGGCTCGGGAGGTGGGGTCCTCAGGCCCCTCCAGCTCGGGGAGGCCCTGCGCCTTTCGGTGGCTTTCTTTTAGGGTTTTCAGGTCTTGCATGACATTTTTTTTTTTTTTTTTTTTGAGACAGAGTCTCACTCTGTCACCCAGGCTGGAGTGCAGTGGCTGGATCTCAGCTCACTGCAAGCTCTGCCTCCTGGGTTCAAGTGATTCTCCTGCCTCAGCTTCCCGAGTAGCTGGGACAACAGGCGCCCACCACCTCGCCCGGCTACTTTTTTGTATTTTTTAGTAGAGACGGGGGTTTCACTGTGTTAGCCAGGATGGTCTCGATCTCCTGACCTCGTGATCCGCCCGTCTCGGCCTCCCAAAGTGCTGGCATTACAGGCTTGAGCCACCACGCCCGGCGCATGACATCTTAAAGCAGCCCCATGGACTGCAAGATAGAGCATGGGCCACTCTATCTAGCCAGTCGCACTGAGGCCTAGCACCTTCTCGGTCCCCATCCCCTCCGTCCAAACCACCGCTCGCCCCTCCACGATGGGTGGGGACTCGGCTAGGCCTGGAGGGCGGCCTGGAGGAGGGAAGCAGCCTGGAGGAGGGAAGCGGCCTGGAGGAGAGAAGCGGCCTGGAGGAGAGAGACGGCCTGCGCGTGCCTCCACGTGCGCCCTCACCCTGGCAAAGCTGAGCTCCTCGGCGGCGTCCTTCAAGATACTCCCAGTCCGCACCCTATCGAGCACCTGCATGGCCACCTCCTGCTCCTCCGGCCACTCTTGCGAGGCCAGATCGAGCCCACTGGCCTGAGAGAAGCGCTGCACGTGCGTGGCAATGCCCTGCATCTGGCTGTCCACGCGCTTCAGCTGCTTGCTCAGGTCCTCCACCTGGCCACCCAGGTCCTTCACTTGGCTCTCCAGTGCTGATGGAGGCACCCGACCCACGCCCCTGCGCTTCTCCCGGGGCGCCCCCTTGGGAGCCTCCTTGGGCGCGGGCAGGTGTGGGGTGTTCAGCGAGCTCCGGGCGGACAGCAGCGAGTGGCTGGGCTCTGGCGACGGGGCCTGGAAGTCGATCCGGGTATTTTGGAGGTCGAGGTTCTTGAGCATGGCCACGATGAGCGTGTGCAGGGCCGTGAAGTTGACGGCGCCCACCTCCGGGGTGCCGATGGAGAGGTCCGCCAGCTCCCGGAGGGAGACCGTGGTCGCGGGCGGCATCGTGGCTGTCAAGAGCTGTGCGCTGCCGTGGGGCGCCGACCCACCACTTCCCGCTCACTGCGCGCTGCGCCTTGGGGCCTTTCAGGGGCCCTGCGAGGTCCTCGGGGCGCCCCTGCCCCGGGTCCAGCGGCGCTGGGCGAGTCACTGGGCGGAGCTCCTGCCTCCGGGGAATCCGCGCCTCCGTTCCCCGGCAGGGTCCGCGATGGCCACCCCTCCGCTGTCTGTCGCCGGCCTCGGGTCCCCCAGCTGGAGCCCTGGACTCCCAGTCCCCGTGCCGGCGGACGTCTGAAACGTGGGGGCCCCCGCGTGCCCTGAAGATTCCACTAAGAACACGTCCTCGCTGCGAGCCCCAGAGAGGAAGCAAAGGCCACCACAGGGATCACAAGGGGAGCCTCGGCAACAAGGGCCGAGGAGGCCTCCCAAGATCCAGCTCGACCCCATCCATCCTCTTAACCTAGAAAGGCCAGGATTCACTCACTCTTGGCGGGGCCACATAAGGACAGAAAGACTTGAGGGTTTCCTGGCAACCATGCTTTGTGTCATCAGCTGCGTCCATTCCACAGTGGTGACCCCGTGTCTAAGGGATGCAGTCCTGGGGCCTTGGTCCCCTGCAGACACTCCGCATATTTCCTTCAATCAAAGGCGAAGCAACTTGGAAAAGACAACCTGCTACTCAGGCAGTTCCAATTAGCCACCGGACGACTATTTGGTGGCTATTTTTTTTCTGTGCTGCCATAATTTTTTTTTTTACTTTTGAGACAGAGTTTCGCACTGTCGCCCAGGCTGGAGTGCAAGGGCCAATCTCGGCTCACTGCAACCTCTGCCTCCTGGGTTCACGCAGTTCTCCTGCTTCAGTCTCCCAAGTAGCTGGGGTTACAGACACGTGGTACCACGCCCGGCTAATTTTTTGTATTTTAGGCAGAGACGGGGTTTCACTATGTTGGCCAGGCTGGTCTTGAACTCCTGACCTCAGGTGATCCACCCGCCTCGGCCTCCCAAAGTGCTGGGATTACAGGTGTGAGCCACCAAGCCTGGTCGTTTTTTGAGATCAATTATTAATATATGGCAGACTGGGCACGAACCCGAGAGGAAGAGGTTGCAGTGAGCCGAGCCGAGACTGCGCTATTGCACTCCAGCCTGGGTGACAGTGCGACACTCCTTCTCAAAAAAAATAAAAATAAAATAAATTAAAAAAAATTTTAAAACTCACCTGGTCAAGCGCCCATGCTTCAGCTCCTTACAAAGCAGGATTAAACAGCACGAGACAAATCGAGTTAACAATCGAGGCATGACTTCCCCGTACCAGATTCTTCCCAAAAACATATAAATAAAACTTCCTAACAGAAGCACAGCAAAGCTACTTAAAGAGAACCTATGAGCGTGTGCCATGCACGGCCAGCCTCCTCCACAAGCTCTGCATCTGCAGATTTAACCAACCAGGATTGAACATGTACAGATTCCTGTCATGATTCTCTAAACAATACAGCATGACAACCATTTACACAGGATGGATATTGCCGTAGGTATTATACATCATCCAGGATGTGCATAGCTTATATGCAGATACTACACCATTTTCTATCAGGGACTTGCACATCCATGGGCAGGAGGAGGCTGAGTCCTGAAACCAATCCCCCATGGATTAGAAGGAATAACTGTATTACTTTAACTACTGTTCAAGTTCAGATTTTTTACTTCAGCCTGAGTAGTAGTTTATTTAATTGAAGGATCTTCGATCATCGTATTCCAGTAACTTGGTACACAGTAGGCCTTTAAAGGGTTATCAAAATAACTAGTTCTTCGCAGTCTTTTTTTTTTTTTTTTTTTTTTTGAGATGGAGTCTCG